AGATCAACATCTTTGTATACATTCTTATGAACGAGAATCATTACAAAGATTGCCTAAATGATGGCCTCTTTACAAAATACTTTCAAAAACCACACCAAGCACATTTTCAAACAAAAGCAAGTGATCTAGTAAGTAACTAAGAGCCCATGGAAAACTATGGATGAAAAGGGTGTTAATACCTTCCCTTTTCATAATCTACCCCCCGAACTCAAGAAAACATCTCAAAGGTCTTTCCTGTTCTTTTCAGCCTTTCCTTTTGGATAAAAGAAAAGTCGGTGGCGACTCTTGCTAACCGCAAGATTTGCGATCAAACGCAAAACAATCAAGTCATTTCTCCCACCACGTCATATACTGACATCTTGGTTGGTCTCAATTCTCCCATGTCAAGCTTTTTGGATATGGATTGGGGCATAACACTGATACTAGCGCCTAAGTCGCATAGAGCTTTGTTTATGACATACTTACCTATATTACAGGGTATAGAGAAACTTCCGGGATCCTTCAGCTTCTGAGGCATTTTGTTCTGAATGATTGCACCACACTCAGCAGTGAGTGTAATTCTCTCGTTATCCTCTATCTTTTTCTTGTTTGACAAGATTTGTTTGAGAAACTTAGCGTACAAGGGCATTTGAGTGATAGCTTTTGTTAATGGTATCGTGATGTTTAATTGTTTCATAAGTTCAACAAATTTCTTAAATTGCCCCGCACTTCTAGATTGAGTAAGTCTTTGAGGATACGGGATTGGTGGTTTGTAAGGAGGCGGAGGCACATACAATTTTTCCTTTTCTTCTATCTCTCCATCAGTTACCTTCTCCTTCTCCTTTGGTTCACTTTCCTCCTCGGTTGTTTTTCTAGAACTTTGGGACGTGGCTGGGTTTTCAGCTCTAGGGTCAATTGGTCCATCGTATTCAGTTCCACTTCGCAGTATAATAGCATGATATTTGAGCAAACGTGGCTGATCACCCATGTCTGGTCCTTCAACTGGTTCAGTAGGAATAGAAGATTGAGAGAGGGATTGATATGTACAAGATACTCGTACTCGGAGGCTTCTAGTAATAGAGCGCTTAGGTTCGGAAATTGGTAGCACTAAGCCTTCACCTTTAGAGCGATTGCTTGGCATACAATTAGGAATGGTGCCTTAGTCTCTACAATGTAACTAAAAGAGTTACGATATCGACTTGTTAGTCCTCGACAACAGTGCCAAAAAATTGATCGCGACTTTGTGAGTCTTAAAGAATCTATACCGCAAGTATACAGTCCTATCGCGTGTAGCTTTAAAGATTATCGAATCCCAAGGGACTAAATGTCAAACTACCATTATCTTAGGTTACTATGTAAATCTAAGGCTAATAATGTAATTAATAGGGGGTTTAGGGAACCTAACTGATTATAGTCTAGTTTAGATTCAACGAAGAATATCGGTATGTAATGGTCGGACTTTGGGGATTTAGCAACTCATTGACCTAACTCGGATTAACAAGACAGTTTTCAGTAGGAAGTATTCATTTAAAAACCCTCTTCTCACACTCTCGTGTTTATTGATTCAGATCCTACGATCAAACCTAAGTGAGTGCTCTCGCTGTTTCAATTAGAGTTTAAAAATAGTTTTTGGAAACAAACAAAACCTAATCAACTTAAAAGCGCTCTCGATGTATTTAAGTTAATGCACAATTACCACTGTCCAGTTATTATCTCAAACTCTCGTTTTATTGATCCTAACTTCTATTTGTATTTTACTCTCGTAACAAAACAATTAATATTTAGAACTAGTAATTGAAACCAGAAAATTATTCTTTTTTAAAAGGAACTGATCAATTGGCGTTGCTAAACCCCGTTGGTTGTATGACCTTACATACCGATAAATAAATTTAGCCTAGCATATTAAACAATTCAATAACAGTGCAACAGAAATAATTACCATCTAGCAATTTAAATAAACTAAACATTACAGACAATCCTGGCATAAATAAATAAAGTACTTAAATTAAACCTGAAAATATTACAGCAGAATATTTGTCTGATATCGGATGTCTCCCACAGATTGGTAAAGAAAATAACACGGAAAGAAAATAATGCGGAAAATATTTGGCAGAGTAACAGTAAAAACAGAGAAAAGAAAGCGTGTTTAAAAATGGGAATTTGAGGTCCTATTTATAGGCTTGGAGATGTGCAGGGAGTTGAGATATTTTCTCCTCCGGATTTTCCTCAGTGTAACGGTCGTTACACTCCTTCTTTTGAGGGAGGGCTAGCGTGGCAAGGTGTAACGATCATTACACCCCCTACTTTTGAGGAAGGACTAGTGTGGTAGGGTGTAACGGTCGTTACACCTGGGCTAAGGAATGTGTAACGGTCGTTACACCCCTTGGGCCTTGGGTTGATTGGGCCAGCGCTTGTTTCTTCTTTGAAATTCCAAGGCTTTTTACTTGTAATGCACCTAATTTTTGCCACACACCCCTCAATTGCATAATTTCTCTTTCTTTGTGCGGATTTTAAATACGATTAGCTCGACTTTTCTTGACTTTCTTCGCACATGCCTTGCAAACATCAAATTCCCGAAAACATAGAAAATACCAGCATAATACGAATAAAGAGTAATTTAATTAATTAAAATGCGGATAAAATTCATGTAAATTGATCTGAATATTCGATACATTTCCAGTTTATCAGTAGATAGCTTGCAAAAGATGAAAGTGGGGTCATATGATCGACCCCCACGCTGAGTGATTCATAGAGCGATTCCAAAATAAGTTTACTCAAGCATATGTGTCGACCCAGATGGAGGTGATGAGATAATGCAATGAATCGTTTAGCTACCTTAAGAGATTGACTGCATAAAACATACTTAGAGACCCACAAGACCAAGAAGGTAATATGTTCTTCATCAGACACACTGTCGACACCTTTGACGTGAAAATGCTCCATATATTTGGCGAAGCCAGCAATGTCCTTTTCAAAAGAAATAACGTTTTCGTTTGCTTCAGTGGGGAGAAACGCTTCACCTGTAGGGTGGAGACCAATGATGGTTGCAATGTCAAACAGAGTGGGAGTGAGCATCCCAGTTGTAAAATGGAAGGTGTTTGTAAAGCCTTCCAGAAGTAGAATGTAGAAATTAGTATGTAATTGCAATAACTAGGGCCAACCCTAGAAAGTTGAATCAAGTCAAAAAATCCATGAGACTTTCAAATGTCACCCTTCACTTTTTCTACTTTATTCAACCATGTAATATAATATTTGTTGACAGCATGGGCGGAACGAAAGACTTTAGACGTACGGCAGATTTGCAAAAAATCTATGGGGAAATCTCTGTTGACAAGGGGTTTGGTGGTTTTGTGAGTATGGAAGCAGTCTTCCAAGTGTTTAGGTACCCTAACCTCATCAGGAATAGGCCATAATAGAGCGTAAGCAGTGTCGCTGCAGATGAAAGGAAACAATAATTGGGAGCGAAAAGTTTGAAGATTACGTGTTGGCATTGGTTCTAAGACAAAAGTGTTTTGATCATGAACAAAGAACTCATCCATGTTGAAAATCAGTTCAATTTTCTGAGGAGTTTGAATGTGTTCAGAGATTTGGCTTGAAGCGGCCATGGAGATGATGGAAGTTTTTTCTGGGTAAAAAATGAAACGAAGATGAAAAGTTTTATGGTGTACGAAGGCAAAGAGTTTGAGTATGCAAAGAAACATAAAGAGGAAATCGGAGAGATGAAATGGGTACTTATACCACCAAGGAGATCAAACATTAGGGAGAAAGTGGTTACACGACCGGCACGTGTCAAACAAGTGGCAACGAATTTGAAGAATTTGGTGAGTTGGGGACCACGATTATCCTAGAAAGTTGAAACTAGAAAATAGGGTAGTGGTTGTGTGATCGCTGATGTAACGTTTGAGGGGAAAATTCATGATTATGGTGACATCATTTCACACTAAGAGAAAAGGATTAAAATGTCCATTTATGTTCTTCAAGTCGAAAGGGACATTTTGGGGGGCAATTTGTTGGCTAAGATTTTTACAAAGGGGTCAAAATCCAACCAAAAGCAAAAAGGGTTCTTTGAGGATTTTTTTTATTATAGGAAGTCGACCACAAAAGCTGTAGACAGGAGGAGATTTCATAAAAGGTCAATTTGGGCTTGTAGACGCGGTCGACCAGAAGAGATGCCTCGTGAGGAATGGATTGGGCCTAAGAGTGTTAAAAAATCCAAAAGAGAGAATAACTAATAAAACAAAGCCTTGTGAGTAGAGAACGTGGGTTCGATAGCAAGAATGGAGAACGTGGGTTCATGAAGAGAAGTTACAATAGAGAATGTGGGTTTGATAGTAAGAATGGAGAACGTGGGTTCGTGAAGGAAAGTTACAAGGGACACGTAGCTCATAAGGAAGCGAAGCCCGCCAGAAAGTAATTATTTTCATGTATTATAAATAAAGCACTTAGTGCGTAGTGTAAGAGGTTCAAACTTTCACATTCCTACACGCTAGCCACTCAGAGTCCCCAAGCGAACGAGCGAAATGAGTCAAGCACAGACGATGTATGTTTGAATCAACCTATTTTTAATTATTTTGATGTTATGTCAGCTATTTTTACAGTTTAAACGTCTTTGTTTTATTTTGTGTTTCCTGTTTTATTGCTTTTAGGTCCGCATCGCCTTAGTTGAACGGATCCTTTTGAAAACACTTTGTGAAAATACTCGAGAACTGAGACACTGTACTGAGATTCCTTTATCGATCTCGCCAATAAATTTTCTATTAAGAAATCAGCGTTATTTACCAAAAACAAAGACAAACAGTTACAAATAAATTATATTGATAAGAACTTTGGTATAACTAATGAAATATTAGAGAATGATACATAGTGCTTCCATTCTAAGTGTCCCTAATAAACTTTTGGCTTTTGAACTCAACTTGAAACTTCAAACTTTTGCGCTTTAGCCTAATGAGTTGCAGAGTGCATCTCATTGAAGAAACGGGCATGTGACAATTGAGGCCTTTGTTTTATTCCGACGTAATTGGTCAAAGTGATATTCTCGTATTAACATCAAATATCGCCGATGATGATAAAAGAGGGTCCTGCAATGCAATGTTGGAAACACTTGATGAATGTATGTATCGCGTTTCCTTAAAATAAATACCATGTAAAAGACTATGGAAGCCTACCTGATCAATTTTACTTCGAAAAATACGTTTCAAGAGCCTGTTAAAGTGTTTGTTTTGCTGAATCTTCCCAATTTCGTGGTGCAGTTTTTCTAGCAAAGCGGCATAAGTAATTCCATAATGTTGTCTGATTATATTTGTTAAAAGATACGTCATAACACCGTTCATCTGTTTTCCTCCAAAAGCCTGCACAGATTTGTCAAAACTCAAGAAAAGAAACCAACAACAAATATGTGTATAGCATTGCAAAAACAGATCATAATTCTTACTGCAGTGTCAGCAGCTATTTGATAATCTTCACAAGCACTGATGCAAATGGCCATTCCACCAGCTGTAGATTTAGTAACAGATTTTGTGTTATGGGGATTGTTATCCATCCATTTCCAATTTCCACTGCAAGCATATATGCATACAATCATTAGTTAGATAATAAACAGAAAATCAAAGGATTATATATATATGTACTTACATGTCTTTTTTATAAACATGCATAAGATCAAGAGTAGTTCCACTATGACAAGCATCAATAAAAGCGTGAAGTTTAACACCGTTCTTGAGAGGTCCAACAATAGTAGAGTTGATTTCATTATCAGTGATCATTCCTGATCTAATAAAATCAACAGGACAAATTGTTTCATCGAGTCCATCTATTTCATCTTCTTTATCATGTGCCGCTTGTTGCATACCATGCCCGGAGAAGTAGAACACCAATGAGTCTCCTGATTTGCAGTCTTTCACCAACCATTTTAAGGATTCCATTATATTCTTCCTTGTCGGACTGAAATTTGGATCCTTCTGTTCTTCTGCAATTTACAAGTTTCACAATAATATCAATCTCATATCTCTCACCATTAAAATTGTATCATAACAAAAAGTTTTATAGCAGATACCTGTGAGTACGCGTACGGATTGAGTTGGGAATGCAAAATTATCAACCAGTAGAGATTTCATGTTAACAACATCATTAATGGTTCCCTCAAGCCTATATCGACTTCTTCTGCTATAAGAAACTCCACAAAGAACCGCACGTTTGTTACCAAATATAGTTGACGATGAATAACCTGATCCAATTCTCCCAGCATGGTCTAGTTTCCTCTGGTTCAATAATTTGGCTCCTAAACTGTTTTCTCTTGATTTACTAACACCTTTGCATTTGTAGCAACGGTATGAAGTTGTTTTTGTTGGTACTACAAACTCTTGTTCGCAACCACTGCAGACAAGTTTTTTTTCCATAGTATGCTTTGAACTAAAGAAGTTATGGTAACTTGTAGATGAAGCAACACTGTTTTTGCTTTTTTTGGCTTTTGATTTATTGTCCATTGATTGCTGAAGCTATTATGTATATATGTATCCAGCATGTGCATGAAGAATATATATAGACAGAAACTTCTACATGTGATCAACTCAAATATGAAAACAATCATTCGCTTTTAATATAACTCTAGTTTTTTAACTCATTCACTACTGGTGTCACTGCACAGCTATCAATAAGTTGTTATTCGAGAATGTTAACGCATTTACTTTGACGAGTTGAAAATTGTGAACCGTTACATAGAAAAAGTTAGTTTTTTTTTTTTTTTTTGTATTATTAAAATGATGTCAAATGTGGAATCCAATCCCTCAATGGGAGATCTTGAAAGGTAAACATTATGGATCGTCCAATTGAAACTCAAAAGCTTAATTCATGTGAGAAGGGGTTTATTTATAACTAAATAAGAAAGAATATATAGTATATATGCTTTTATTCATTATTCTCACATTAAATAACCAGGAACCAGATGCTCTTAAATTTGGTTTGTGTTCTTTTTCTTTTTTTAAAAACAAATCATTAGTGACGAAACTCATATTCTTGAAAAATAAAAAACCATAAATTCGAGCACATTCGAATATATTAAATGCTACATTTTTGCATATTGATATATTTTTCCGGCTTTAGTCCACATGTGGTTTTTAATTAGATTTAATGAAAATAATAATCTACTTTCAAATGTTTTTAAATGTTTAAAGAGAAAAAAGAATATGTATTAATATTGTAAATTATTTTTACACTGTCAAATAATCACAATCATGTATCAAACAGTGTTTTAGAACCCAGTTCGACCCGGTCGGTCAGATCGGTCTGACCGAGAATCGGTGGGTCAGGCAGTCCGATTAAGGAATAAGATCGGAATTATATTTAGACCGGATGAAACCGGTGTGAACCGGTCGGATCACCGGTTAAATCAGTGAACCAGCGGTTTTTATTGAACCGACGGGTTTGACTATTTATTTTATTTTTTAAGGCTTTTGAAAAAAAAATTAACATAAACGCTTTGCCTCCTCGTTTTCCAAACTTATGCATTTGAAAAGTTTTCTTTTTTATTCTGTCTTTTCTTTTTCTAATTGAAGTCATATTCTCAATTTTCTCTACCAACAAAAACTCTCACTTGCTGCTGTTATTTGATATTCCTTGTTTGCCGTAAAAAATTTCATCAAAACATCAAAAACAGGTTATTTCTTTTTTACTTGGTCTAATTCGCATTGATGTTTTTCAATATGAATATTATTGTTTCATTTTGTTGATTAATTGATATAGAAAATAAATGATTAAATTTGATCATTTTCTATAAAATTGGGTCTTTTTGTTTAACAAATTGAGATAGAATTTGTATGAATGAAGCAGTTTTATACTTTTATGAATTAACTTATTATAGACTGGTAATGAAGTTGTTGTATATTGGAGATAGAAATTGAGATAGATATATATTACTGTAATAGTCGTTGTATATATTATGGAGATAGAAATTGAATTTAAAACTATGTAATCTAAATTATACAGTAAGACAAAGTTTTCTGTTTTTTATTAATTTAAATTATATAACAAAGAAAAGTTTCAGGATTTTATTAATCTAAAATATATAGCAAAGGCTGGAAAGCAAAGTTTCTATTTTTTTATTATATATGGTGATGCACAGTAACGATGCTTGGTAACCTATATGTAATATACAACACATATTCATATATTTTGGATTTAGATATGCTACATATTTAATGTCTCTTATAATGTTTTTATAAATTCAATAATTTTTGTTTAGAATTGTGTTTTGTTAATATTTTTGTAATATAGTTTTGTATTTTTAAATTTTGATTGATATTAGATATGACATCACCCGCTGAAGTAATAACTTCGGAAGAAGTTACATCTCAAAATCCAACCCAACTCCAGAGCAGTAGGGGAAAAACTGATATAGCTTGGGGTCATTGTAAACAAATTGAAGAGAAAGGAAAACTTGTTAATTTGTGTATTTACTGTGATAAAATTATTAGATGAGGGGGATTAATAGGTTCAAATTCCATTTGGCTAGAATAAAAGGTCAAGTTGAAACATGTAAAAAGGTGCCTCCAGATGTTCAATATCAAATGAAACAAAATCTTGATGAAGGTGCAAATAAGAGAAGAAGGACTCAAGCACAAAATTTTGATGTTGATCTTACTACTCAAGAGGGTGGTGTAGTAGGAATGGATGTAGAACAATCAAGATCAAATTCGGTGATTATGTCTCAAAAGAGAAAGAATACTAGTCGTATTGGTAATTATTTTATGCCTAGAATAACTCCTGGAGCTCAACCTTCTTTAAAAAGTGTGTTACAAAGTAAGGAATTGGTGGAGAAGTGTGATCTAGCTATTGCAAGATGGTTCATTGATTCTTCTGTGCCATTCAATGCAGCTAATTTTGCGTATTTTCAATCTATGGCTGATGCACTTTGCAGTATGAGTCTGGGGTATAAAGTTCCAACTATGCATAGTCTTCGTGGCTATTTGTTAAATAAATGGGTTGAAGATGTGAACAAATTGATAGAGGAGTATCGTGAGATTTAGAAGAAAACTGGTTGTACTCTAATGGCCGATGAATGGACTGATCAAAAAAGAAGAACTCTTATAAATTTTCTGGTTTATTGTCCCAAAGGTACTATTTTTCTAAAATCCGTTGATGCTTCTCATGCTTCAAAAACTGCAGATATGTTGTATAAGCTTTTTAGAGAGGTGGTTTTATTTGTTGGGCCTTAAAATATAGTTCACATAATGACAGATAATGCTGCAAATTATGTTGTTGCTGGAAGGTTATTAGAAAATGAGTTTCCTACTTTATTTTGGTCTCCTTGTGCGGCACATTGCATTAACTTGATGTTGCAAGACATGGGAAAATTAGAGGAAGTAAGTGAGACAGTGTTATATGCTTCTAATGTTACCAAATATATTTATAACCATTGTTATGCATTGTATTTAATGAGAAAGCAAACAGGTGGAAGAGAAATCCTTCGTCCTGCTCCAACTCGATTTACCACTAATTTCATTGCTTTGCAAAATATTTTGTCTCACAAAAACTCACTAAGAGCCATGGTAACATCTAAAGAATGAACAAGCTCAGCATATGCCAAAGAAGCAGAGGAAAAACAGTTTGTGGATCAAGTTTTAGATTCTGGATTTTGGAGTAAATATGCTGATATAGTTAAACTCACTGAACCACTTGTGCGTGTGTTGCGTATTGTTGATAGTGAAGATAAACCTTCTATGGGTATTCTATACAAATCTATAGTCAAAGCTAGAGAGGAGATGGTGAGGAGGTTTCAAAGAAATAAGAAGAAAGTGGATCCTTACTTGAAAATCTTAGATAAACGTTGGGATTCACAGCTCCGCAAAAATCTTCATGTTGTCGGTTATTGGTTGAATCCAACTTGTAGATATAATGATGTAGAATTTGAAAAACATGCATCCACAACATCAGGACTTTTAGATGTCATTGAAAAGCATGCTAATGGAAATTCTGAACTTCGATTGAAGTTAACAGATGAGATGAGAATATTCAAAGACGGTGAATTAGATTTTGAAAGGAAATCAGTCGTGGATGAACGATGTATTGTGAGGGAAGGTAATTTCATAACTTCTAACTCTTGATATATATTTTATTTTATATTTCAATATGTTTATAAATTTATTTAATCACATGGTATAAACAGATCAATGGTGGAAAACTTATGGCACTTGTACACCAACTTTGCAAAGGTTAGCTATTCGTATTTTAAGCCAAACTTGTAGTGCTTTGGATTGTGAACGCAATTGGAGTATATTTGAGCATATTCATTCCAAAAAAAGAAATAGATTGGAGCACTAAAAGCTTAATGATTTAGTGTTTGTTCGTTACAACTTGAGACTTCAAAATAGGTATTATTATGGTTATTTTTCTCTGATCATTATATTTTTATATTTAAATACATATACTTAGATTTAATTCAAGTGTGCTTAGGAAAATAAGAAATGGGAGTTATGATCCTATCAATATTGATACAATTGCCGACCATTCTAGTTGGGTATTAGAGGACTCACCACCTCTCTTAACCAATGAAGAGTTGGAAGCATTGCGGAATGACCTTGCAAATATGACCATCCAACCAATTTCAAGTGATATTTGTATGTTCTAATATGAGCATAATATAGTTTGTGGTTGTGAATCAATTTAATGTCTCACATTTACCATCTCTAAAAAAAATTTGTTAATTATTTTTTAAAATATTGTTATAGATCAAATAGATTTAGATGAGGATGAAGATGGAGATATGGGTAATGCACAACATACTATTGTTGATACTGTGAATCAAGAAAAAAGCAACACCACAGAAGATGAAGTTGGTGGAGAAGACAATGAAGTTGAAGATGGATATGAATATCAAGATTATGACAATTTGACTTCATGGACATAAAAAATTATAGATCGTTGAGTATGGATTTTTGTGACTTATTATAATATTATACACTACGCCAAAAAAGACTTACGAAAGCGCTTTGTTTGGCCTTTAAAAGCGCTTAAAAGCGCTTTCTAAGGTGGCGCTGCTATAGGTTTTAGCAGCGCTTTTTGTTTAATGAAAAGCGCTTTCGTAGGTCTACCTAATACAACACTTTTTCTAAAAAGCGCTCTCTTAAGTAGGCTTTTGACAGCGCTTTTTTATGAAGAAGCGCTATCATAGGTCTACCTAAGGCAGCGCTTTTTTCTGGAAAAGCGCTCTCATAAGTTTTCTTTTAGCAGCGCTTTTTCTGGAAAAGCGTTGTCTTAGGTAGGCTTTTAGCAACGCTTTTTCTGGAAAAGCGCTTTCATAGGTGGTCTTTTAGCAGCACTTTTGCCTGGAAAAGCGCTGTCATATGTTTATCTTAGACAGCGCTTTTTGTGAAAAAGCGCTTTCATAGGTTACCTAAGATTCTACAAGGCAATTCAATTTTGGCAACTGTCTGACCACAGAAATTCTTTGTATCAATTATATGAACCTAAAAAAATTGAATAGAAGAAA